TAGTACAAAAGTGAACATTTTCAAAATTCATTTCCTTTAAAGCTCAAGTACACATCCAGGTCCAGGTTGTTGGGTGGCTCATTTTTTTAAACCTTCTTCAGGCCAGTTGTGCTGTTCTGTCTTCATAATTTCCCCCTCTCCCCACCCTAACAAAGGCTACATGAAGTCACAGCCATCAGATGATAGGGCGCTGTGGTGGAGGTACTGACAAAGTGGCCAGGCCCATGCGCCGTCGGGCAGGAGGAGTTAGAATACGCAGTGTCTTGTCCACCTTCAACGCAACGGCACGCATTCTGGGTCTCCAGGGTTTCCTTTCTGGGTACAGACATGCATCCTTCTCCACTGCTTGCAGTAATGAGGGGCCGTTTCCCAGAGCCAAGTACACATTTCACTGTTGCATAAAATGCTTCTGATGGGTGCTGGAGGGACATGAAACCAACAACGTGTCCAGTTGACTTTTCTTCTTCTCATGTTTTTCATGCAGAGCTTTTATTCAGTTAATCCCGCTGCTGTGGATGCACCTTTCTCCAAATGCAGCAAAGATATTTCTCATAATCGACTAAAGAGGCATACGTTTTGCATTACTTTAATTTTAAAGGCTGGATGTGACAAGATTCATAGAAACTCTCATTGGGTGAACACCTGAGTTTCAGATTTTATTTTGCAGTTTAGTCAAATTGTTGTTGCTTTGTGATATGCCAGTGGATACTACCATCATTTAATCATTATGCACATATGTGCACGTAGATACGCTATCATCCATGTATTAAAGTTCAGAACTTGTCTTTGCATAGTGAGGATTAGATACAGATTTAGGGTCTGAAGAGGAAAGTAAGAAATGACTCTTTAAAGTAAGTTGATAGTACTTACTGATAGTGATTACTCTGTGTAAGTCACTGTTTCAGGCGCTTGAAATTTATAAATAATTTATGGCAACACTAAGAGGTTGGTGAGGCAGGCAGGTACGTACTACTGATAATGCCATACAATACTATGAGGCCCTAACTGCTCTTGGAGATGGGAGAAATTGTTTTGGCAGAAAGGGAATGTGTGGTGGGTGGGCACGGCCTTGAGTTCACATAGCCTGTCCACCTCTAAGTACACATACAATTTTGGAACTCTCTGCTCTTTAGTAATCAATAATACCAACCTTGCATATTTTTAAATATACATTATAGATGTGTGTAAAACTCCCTGTTTGCAGGTAGCTCACAGTGAAACAAGTTTTATTATTCAGTAAGGGATTATCAGAACACTCAAAGATTTCAACAAGAAATGGAAGAAGAACTTGTGGGAGAAAGAAGGAGCCACAGGTGATAGGACCCGACGGATACAAAGGGCGCTGTTCCTAGTGCACAGTTCACTCTGACTGCAGTGGGGGGGCGGGACAAAGAGAGGCGGGTTTGTAGCCTAGAAAGATGAGGCAACTCTTCTGTGCTCCTTAGACCTTTTGCGGAGGTCAGCAAACAACTCCTTGCCTGTTTTTGTAACAGCTGAAGAGCTAAGGTTGGTTTTACATATTTAAATGATTGGGACAAAAGCTAAAGAACAACGTTGAGTGATGGGTGAAAGTTATGTAGAATTCAGGTTCCAGCACCTGTAGCTACAGTGTGATTGGCCAAGGCCACCTGAGGTCATTTGCATGTGGCAGAATTCATTGGTGGGGCCTGCAAAGCCTAATTATTTACTATCTGGTCCTCCGAGGATGAGGTTGCCAATCCCTGCCTCAGTTACCATGTTTAGCTTTCTAAATCCTAAAGGTCATCAGGCTTTGATGGCAAGATAAACAAACAAACAAACAACAAATGATTTTGTTGTTTGGAAAAGACCATACCAAACATGCTAGTTCCCTCTTCCAGGGTCTCTGACGCAGATGTCCCCGGACAGGTGGAAGAGCACCTTTGGGCCATCTCAGGCTGGCTCTGCGCATCTCTAGTTTGGGTCTCCGTGACTCACACCTGGGTCCAGGTTCTTATCAGTCCTACACATGGCTTGCTGATGGGGGCAACGGCGAGGACAGTGTTTGGGCCACATTTCCAGTTATGTAGTCTCCAGTGATATGGGGGTTCACACACCGAATAGGGTCTGTTTAAAACTTACCCATGTCTCCTTCTCTTTCCTCTTTCTTTGTCCTTTCCCAGTTGTCACTTTGACATTTTCCCCCATGTATAATCCTGCTCATTTAATCTAAGAGTTATGAAACGTATTGCTTATATAAAAATCAATAAGAAAAGGAAACAGGAGTTAAAGTTTTATTGCATGAGCCTTTTCTTCAATTAGTTTAACAACCCTATCCATCACACCACACCCCTCTTTGGAAACTCGATGTCTGGCTGGTTCTGAATTGCTCTGAAAATCATTTGGTGCGGCAATTCCTTTTGCCTGTAATTTTGATTCATGGCCCTTCGTATGAATTATTTTATTGCTCTATTTTCCTAATAGCTTTTAGGCAGCCAATCATCATGCGAGATACTGTGTTTCTTTATGATTCAGTGGCATCCAGATGTCTGTACTTCTTGTTGTTGCCTTTCAGACACATTGCAAAAAACAAGCCGCTTTAAAATAATTGCATTCATTTGTGCAGTAAATTTTAAATTATTCTGTCACAAGTCAGTCAAACTTTACCTTGAATGCAGAAAAACTTGGTATCGTTTCTGGTAAACCTGCGTGACTATCTTAAAAGTTGGGGTGGTTTTCAATTATTTTAAAAGAAAATGATTAACCTGATTTGAAAAAAAAACACACACATTCTATCATACAGAGACACAATGTGTGAAAGAAAGGTGTCTCTCATATAATTTGTCAGTTTTATAAGTAATGTAAGAACAACCTGAATGGGCTAATACCTAAGACACTTGTATGTTTAGAGTTTCTAAGTAAATGTATTTAGGTAAATAAGAATGCTTTGCTTTATTCTTAGCATTACCCAAATTAAGTACCAGATTCCATGTAGAGACCCCCAAAACTTGAACAACCGGGTCAGGTTTCATACAGGAGGATTTGCATCAAACTACTTGGTGCCTTTTAAAAATACACCTGTTGTGTCTCATCCAGGTTCTGCTGAATCAGAATCTTGGAAGGGGCCAGGCACTTGTTAGAAAGTTCCCCGGGCGGGTCCAGATCCTCACCTTTGGCTGAGAACCCTTGGGCCCAAAGTACATTTTAGATAACAGACAAACAGAAGGGCAGCCCCACGAACATCACTGAATCTGTTACTAAGGTGCTGTTCAGGGCACTGTCTACCTTTTTTTTTTTCATGAAAACTCAAATAAGAATTAAGCATTTTTTTCATAAAAAGTCTGTGATGTTGTCTGTGGTCAGGAGCAACGACATACCTGTCTCTTCCCCCACCTCCCGCATCGGTATCAGGAGTTTCTGAGACAAAGGTATAGTTTACTTTTAAAGCCCTATAGCCTGGGTATCTGCATTCTAGTTTTTGTCTAATTAAAGAAGAACTCATTGAGCCCCTTCTATGTACCACATTCCTAACAGGCATTGAAAATGCTAGTAATGAACAGAATACTGTGGTGCTTACAATCTCCAGATGAGACAGATGCTAAGCAAATAAAGGTTTCAGTAAGAGCTTCCTAGATCTCCTAATCCTGTTTTGAGTATTGATTTATATATTTCCCCCTCAGTATCAATCGGAGATGAGCCATGGAATCCCTTTGTGTAACATTTGTGTGCAAACACACGATGTATATATTTATATTATATATACGTGTTATATTTTATATAAGTTATATATGCATAGTATATATTTCATATACATAGTGTCTGCATGTCTCAAACAGATATATACACTCCGTGTTGTCTTTTTGGAACTATATTGTTTTATATATTTTAACCTGCATCTCATCCTTCTGGGGAGAGGTGGCATGCATGTGTGTCTCTATGTGCACACACGTGCTCAGAGACGTGGGCAAATTTGGGTTAGAGTTCTCAACATTACATTTTAGCCCGTTTTTCTTAGTGCTTTTTTTGTTGTTAAATACTGACAGTAAATTATGCTCTGTATTTGATAGTGTTTCTTTCCATTTCCTTATGTTTTGAACTTTTTGTATTACCTCATAAAATATAAAGACTATTTTGGGACATATTTTTAGTGATGAGACTGAGATTGAAAATCCCAGACACACAAAACCACAAAAGAAAAAGAAAACCTGTGACTCTGTGTGGCCCTTGGAGAAGGAGAACAATGCTGTTGTCAGAAGAACTTCACCACGTGTGGGTGTAATTCTTTTTCACACATGTTGCTTCACTGGTATATTTCTTTCTCCTTATTACCTTTTCAACTCCTATAGGGTTTGACTCGAATTACTGTTTTTGAGGATAGTGTTAGCATGTTAATCCTCTTGAAAAGTTACAGAGGAGACATTCTGGAATATAACTGACAACGATCCACTAGAAATAGAGGGTAAGCGTCCTGCTGGAGGTAGCAGAGGGGCGTCTGGGTGTTTCTGGGGGAAGAATCGCCGTGTGAACAGGCTATTTAGGCTCACCACGACCCTCTGCTGCTGGTGCAGCTGCATGTGGAATGCCTGAGCCCTCAAGATTATAATGAAGTCCCTCAAAATCCATAAAAATGTCCTTTTAATGAGAAATTCAGTTGAAAGTTACATTCCTCTTTACTTTTAATGTGCCCCCGTGGACAGTGCCGTTCAATTACATGGTTGAAGGATATTACCTCGATGTCCCTTTGGGGAAAGATTTTGAAATCTTATCGGTTGTCTTTCAAATAATATTCTCAAGTCTTGTGTTTGACCAGGCAATGGGTGGAAGCAGAGTGGATTAAGTTAGTTCCGAAGCACACGCCATCGTCTGTGGACCAGCAAAGCGGCGGGGATTCTGATTGACATTAGTATTTATTACATTTGAATGCTGATGGTGCATGTTTGCGGCTGAGCCCTTCCCATGCATATTGACATTCATAAATGAAAAGACTCTGCTTTATGGGCTACTTAATTGGTAATTTAATTTTCCTAATCACTTTCTTGCAGGACCTGGATTTTGAAGCCAAAACAAGTTATACGCTACGGATAGAAGCTGCAAACAAGGACACCGACTCTCGCTTTCAGAGCCTGGGGCCGTTCAGCGACACGACGACCGTGAAGATCATCGTGGAAGATATAGACGAGCCCCCTGTGTTCTCTTCCCCCTTGTACCCCATGGAGGTGTCAGAAGCCACCCAGGTCGGGAACATCATCGGCACTGTCGCGGCTCACGACCCAGATGCTGCCAACAGCCCCGTGAGGTAACAGCTCTTTCCTGTCTGTCTCTGTGCTTCTTGCACAGCCCACGTTCCTACCTTAGGGTGCTTTTGGTTTATGGCACATGAAACCCATGTTGTCTCTGCATAGAGCCGTAGCAGCAGACGTGAAACAGGGCCTGAGCAGCTCAGCATTTTACTCGTTCAAAATGCGTCACCCGATCTTCCAAAGCCATCATCATATGGCGGTATTGTGAGGCTTCTGTTATTACCCGCAAATGATAGCCGATGACCCCATTCAGCCAATTACCCTCAGCTCTTCCGGAGCAAGCTGCTCAGAGCCGGATTGACGTGTGTCCCGGTTACAGGGCACACACGTGTGTCAGAAAACTCATGTCGTCGATAACTGAAATTAGGGGTGTGCTATTAAACACATCCTTTTTTTATATTGGTCTATTGTACATATTATTGAGTTATTATCACTTATATAAAATGAAACAATGCCTAATAAATATATAAGGACTACTTTTAAACGTCTGTTCAGTCATCCTGTACAAAGATTAGACACGTTGTTATAACAACTCATCTCTTTGGTGCTAACAGCATTTCAATATATCACAGTGTTCCATTTCACAGTTTTTGCCTGTAGTTTACAATCTGAAATCTGTATGTATGTTTTGTGTATGCATGTGTTTGTATGTGCACATATGACAAATTATGTCTTCAGTGAATATTATATATACAGTGTACTTGAGGTTACGTTGTATTACACATCTTAATTGGGAATCTTAAGTAAGACTTTTCAGTATGACAGTTTGGATTTGACTACATAGTCTATGAAGTACATAAATGAATGAATGTTTTATGTTCAGTTTATAAGCACAGCCTTTTAGATATAACTCACACTTAAAAATTCTAAGTGTGTTTTATCTAAATTCTGAACTGTCTGGACATTGACTACAAAGTGTGATGAAAAATATCTCTTTTATATATATATAAATTTATATATAAAATATAGATATTTGTATATATAAAACAGATATATATGTGCATACATGTATACACATACATGTATGTATATATGTATGTGTGTGTGTGTGGCATTCTTCTCTCTGTTGTCTGACGTTGATATTTAGCCTGGGAAAGAACTGATATGAAATAATTGGTCTCACAAAACTGAACCCCGGGTCACTGTTTCTCTGTCCATATAAGACATTCAGACTACTTAAATGGATATAGTACTTTAAATGCAGTGATCATAAGCCGTTTCTAAGAATATGATCTGCGCACTGGAAAGTCTGTGAGTCACACACGTGCCAGAGAGAACAGGCCTTGCCCTCCTCCCCGCTACAGCCCCGCCTTCGCTGCCAACGCCACTCCCCGACTTCACTCAGCTCCGCCCGCCAAGGCTTCCCCGCTGGAATTAGGGTTTTGCTATGGCGTCGCCTCTCCCAGTGACACACGGAATGTCTTCCCCTCACGAGCCACAGCCACGGCACAGCTGCAGCCATAGGTCAGGTTCTCAGGGTAGTCCGGCTTCTGCTTCAAGTAGTTCATCTCAGGGGATGAAAGAGAGAACGCTTTCCTGACATGGGAGATAAGGGTAAAAAAGAAGGAAATTGGGATGTATTGCGTCGGTATTTTTACTTGATTGTGATGCTGTTGAACCATTTTAGAGTGAATATGACACTTTTTGTACTACGGCACTGCATACTTTGGGGAAGAAGGAGAAGGGCGAGCAGGCCCCAGTGGGCCGCGGCTGGAGCAGGGGGAAGGGAGCCCCTGCGCGTTCTCAGAAGCGCAGGGCCAGAAGGGACAGAGGCTGGACGCTGGCAGTTTGGGACAAGAAGACCTCTGTGACCTTAGTGAAAGAGAAGCTGGCCTGCGCCCTATTTTTACCTCATTTTAACTGTCTTAAAACTAAAAAAGGCGACTTAAAAGTTCAGGTTCGTACTACTTTGTGTCTTCTGATCCCTAAATCTATCTCACAATAGGGAGAGACGGACTTTGTGCAGAGTGACCTAAAATGTTATTTTCGTGTAACTCTTTCTTTTTGCATTTGTAAGACTGACTTATTGACTTATACTTAACAATCAAATTATTGACACATTTATTTATTTGGATAAGCCCAGCAAAGTCATCTGTAGCTTATGTTATTCTGGATGTGTCTCTCATGTACTTGTCCTTCCCTGTCCGTTTAGGATATCCTTTAAGTCCATCTCACTTTGTGGTTTGGTGAGTAGATGTGCACTCCCATGCAGTCTCTGTAGGACCGGCCCTCTTCCCAGCGCCCCTGTGTTCAGGGAGACTGAAGGAATGCCACTTAGCCTGTGAAATCCCATATAACCCAGTAAACAGAAGAGCAACTCTGCTCCCTGCTCTAGCCCAGGTGTCTTGAAGATTCGGTAAGAAAGGCAGAGTACCCAGTGCTTTTAAACTGGGAACCGTGACTTAAGTATTATGAAATAGTATCATTATACATTGCTGTTATTATAGCTTATTGTGTTTTCCTCCCATTTTTATTTCAAAGTCAGTAACATCAGGGGAAGGAGACGTTGCACAAGCAACTATGTTGAAAATCATTTTGTAGTCACGTGTGTTCCAATACATAGAAAATATTACATAGATGTTTAACGGCCAGAAGTATGTGTTTGCCTTTGGGCATTCAAGAAACAATCAAAATGTAAGCCTGTGCGTGGGTAGATAGCACAGCCTTCTGAGGCCCGGGGAGAAGTGGTCTCCAGGCTGAGATGGAGCCTGAGGACCCTTAATAATCCTGAGCTTTGTGCTTCCACTCCTTCAGAAATAGTATAGCTCTTAGAGGAATGCAGAAGCGGTATTTGTTTCATTGTAATTGTTTAAAATGAGGACAATAGTATTGGAATTGTAAAACAGTATGGGAAGTTGAATAATTACTGCTTGAATTTATTCACGTTCTTTGTAGTAGATTGCTGAAATCGAGCATATGCCATTTACATTTGGAATATTATTTGATATGTGGAGTAAGAGATTAAAATTCTAGAAAGAAATACACTGACTTGCCTCCAACAAGGTAAAATTGAGATCCTTCCCCCCCAATAATCTCTGCCTTGCCCAGAATTTTAAAAATTTTATCTACTTTTGGCACCAGTCAAAAATTACTCATAAGTATTCTCTGTGCCTCTGCCCTTCTGTTACAAAGAGACTGGGCTCCTTAACCGCCATAGAGCGTTTGGGTGGTTAGAAGTATAGTGGCAACTCGGGGAAGACGAAATGAACCCAGAACCCAGCGGCGGGCTAGAACAGAACACAGCTGTGAACTCTTATGTCCTTGTGATCACTTGCCCACCAGCCAGATGGGGTATGTCATGTACATGTGCCAGTATGTTATGTACACTTCAATTTCCTCTTTCCCATGGGAAACTAGAAGCCAAAGGTGAAAATTAGGTGATACCTGAGGTTACTTAGCCAGAAATAAAAAAGGGGCGGTTTTGAAAGCAATGCAGATAACTGAGGGTCAGCATGTTTCTGGCATTTATATATATAAGTATATATATAAATTTTATGTAGCCTAATGGTTCTAGTTGCTTACCATTTCCTACACATTTTGCCCTTCGCTGCCAAATATCAGGCTTTATGTATTCAACTTTGCAGGGCAGATTGTGTTTTGCTGATTCTGATCAGGTTTCTGAGCAGTGGAAAGCTCTCTTCTGTGTTTGTCGTCAGTAAGCTGATAACAACTGCAAGAGCAGCCCAGAGTCTAGGGGACAGCTCCATCCCCAGGTCGGCATTGGTAGACGGGTCAATGAGTCCACATGCCTGTATTAAGAACCTGCTTTGTGCATGATGTTGGGGAAAAATTGGTAGAGAAAGCAAAGATGAATAAAACATTTCCTCTGACCTCAAGTGACTTAGAGTCTGGTGGAAACAAATAATTGATTCCACGGGAGTGAAACGGGACAAAGGGGAAAGGGCCAGCACTGGCTCGCTGGGAGATAAAAGTCACCGCCCCGGGTTCACCAGACTGGGGACTTCATTTGAAGGGGTTGGGGCATAAACTGGGCTTGAGGGATTAGGGTATTCGGACCAGCTAAGAAAACATTATGCGAAGTGTTTATGTTTTATTCAGTAATATCCGCAGAGTCTAGCGCTGTACTATTAAATCAGCGAATTTATTTCTGTGGGCAGCACAGCAAGCCCCAAGTCCCTAGGCCCAAAATAGCCAATGAATTGCAATAGAATGTTGTTACAAGTGGGATTGGACGGGAAAGGGGGAGGGGGAATACAAATTAATGAGGATCCTATTCAGCATTTCTAACAATGTAGATCGAGAACTGGATGTGTATTTATGTTCAAGGATTTCTGGATGGTAGTAGTTACTTACAGGCTCTTTTTGCCTTCCTGGTAAAGTGTATTCTCAGATAAAAGGTGATAAAATAGTATCAGATATTACATTATGGAGTGTGACTCCATAGTGTGAACACATTTGGGGTGTTTGAATAATTCAGTGTGTGTTTTCACATATATTTGTACATATCATTTTGACCTAAATATATTTGTAAATATCTGATTATTCTGAGAAATGTAGAGATCCAGGAACAAACAAAATTAGGAGTTCATTCAAAAAGTAGCAGAAATCAAGTCCATGAGGAAAATATGTATTGTAATCTATTTCAAAATGCTGTTGAATTTAATATAATTATCACTAAAAATTAAAAAAAATATGTTCAGGTATGATGAAAATAAAAAAAAACTTTTCATTAGACCAGTACACTTAATATCTAGAGACAATTTTCAAAACTGGTTAAGTAGGAAATTCCTGATTTGTATTAGACCTTTTCCATCATTTATTATATTGCTGTAGAATTAGAACTCTACTCAGAGCAAAAATCTCCCAAGTTAGCTTTTAGAAAGACTCCAGGTGAAATGAATTTATGGAAGATTACATTTCCCTCGATTTATCCCTTGTAGTTTTTTCCTCATTTAAAATGCACATTGAAAAGTCTTATTAACAGAAGAATATGAAATGCATACCCCTTTGTGGTGTGAGTCTTTGAGTGGGAGGT